ACTTAATTTGTTAATGTGAATATTAGTATTTATATGCGACTCATTCAAATTAAAGTTAAATATAGAACGATAATATCGAGTTTTCAGTACAGACACATTTAGACGGTTAAAATTATTTTACATGATTCAACCAAATGTTCATATTTAATTTTTAACTAATTTCAACTCTTAAGCCTTGAAAATATTTTCGTATAAGCAAAAGATAATTTGTGAGTTCTCTCATCTCAAAAACATTTTATTATTATTTATTAACTCAAACAAATTTAGATACATTGCTAGGTCATGTTTATAATCCGGGATTGTCAAAATTGTTTGCCTCCAGCCAAGCATTCTTTAAAAAAAAGGAACACACTTGTAAATAAAAATAATTTTTTATATGCTAGAGAATATTTAGTTAATTAGAAAAAACAAACTGAAGAACTGGACAAAGCAATAAAAGTTTAAGAGTCTCAGAATTTTACCCCATAACGGCACAAAAGAAAAATGTAATAAATATTTACTTCAGTAAATAAATTTTTTTTCCAGCGGAACGCCTAGGTTTTGTGAATAATATAACCACTGTTTCGTTTGTATTAACCGTTAAAAACTTAACTGCAAAATATTTATTAAATAAATTTGAGTTTACTTAAGATTCGTTCTTAGAAAGTGATAGTATTACAGGTCTTCAGCGAACATTGATAAATGTAAATCTTTGTATTTACATAATGGTAATCCGATAAAGTTAGTGAAAACTTGAAAACAGTACAGGAAAAATAAAAAGGGCCTTAAAACTTGGCCCTGTAATACGTTTCAAATACACGAATTTTTTGAAAAGAACTCTCCATCTACAAACATAAAAAATTAAAATTATTGAATTTTAATATAAAATGATTATAGATAACAGTTTTGAAGTTCCGAAAAACTCCAGTGCAAAGTCGGCTATTTGAGCGTTTTTTTTCTCTTCAAATGCTTGGTTGGTAAACTTTCTTATTTTCATATAAAAATGTCATTTTTAGAGTAAGGAATGATACACAGATACAAAGAGGCAACATGGGTACATTACATACAAACAATAATAACTTTTTTAAGCATTCAGCCATTTTGGAAAGTAGAAATTCGTAAATCACTAAAACATATTATTTCGTAATTGATACCGTTCATCATGCGATTGAAAACTGTCCACTTCCCTGAAAACATTATTTTCGCGTGGTTGGTTTATCTGATGGAGGAGATTGTACCAATTATTGGATTATTGTTAGATCATATCACGTAAAACGAAATACGAGATTAGATCTAATTTCCAATCTAATTGTTTTGTGAAAAAAAAACCACTTCACCATAAACTGAGCCAAATTATCAGCCAGTCTATGAAAAATTAATAATATCAGAAAGCGATTTGAAAGTCGAAAGAAAAACTAAAGGCTAAACTTATTTCTCAGAACAGAGGGGTAAAATGAAAATTCGTATAAACAGAGCTTCAGTGAATATGACAAAATTTAAATTATATAGTTTTAAGAAAAAAGGATAACAATAAGTATAAATACATTATAAGCAGTTTCCACAAACCCAACGACGACTATTGGCAAAATAAGTTTGAAAAAAATACCGGGAGAATAGTTTAATAAACTTATTGAAGAAGTGATTCAAATGAGCTTTAAAGAAGAAAATGTTGATTGTGAACGAAGAAGACTAGGAAGAGAAAAAGCCAAGGGAAAAGTAAGTCCTCTAATTAGGACTTAAATTCAGACATAAGAAACTATTGAAAACGCTTATAAACTCAAAAATACATATTGAATAGGATTTTTTAGTTTAAAAAACAAGGAAAAGAAATTAAAAGAGAAATGTCTGGTCAACAGAGCAATGAACAATAGAAAAAAAAGAATCAAACGCTAAATAATAATTATGACAATAAAAAAATTGTACTTTAAAATTATTTGATTAAAATAAAACATAACTCGAACAAAAATTGATGCGATTATTTTAGCACTCGTAATGTGTAACAATTTAACACAAAACCCATTATATTTTGTGGTCCGATTGATCAAATAACTTCTTTCTATTAATTAATCTTTATATAAGCTATTGGTTGAAATGAAAAAGTTAGTGTCACGAGCGGGATTCGAACCCGCGACCTTCGGCTAACACAATTCCCTCACCCGTTTTCTAGGCTGTTCTATTTTATTCCCCTCCCCACTGTTGATTTTTTACTGTCTCACACTTATTTCTCTTTCTTTCTTATTTTCTTTCTCTTTCCCTCTCCTTTACTTCTTTCTCTCCATCTCTCTCTCTTTCTTTCTTTCTAGCCCACTCATTTCTTATTTTTATTATTTTATTATTCTTATTGATTATTTTTCTTTCACCCTCTCCTTTCTCTCGCTCTCTACTTTTATTTTTCTAACATTCTCTTTTTATTTTCTTATTAGTTTATTTATTTTTCGCTCTTCCTTTGTTTAATAATTTTTTCTCACTACTTTTTTATTTTTAGCAATTAATTCCTTATCTTTTCAGCTTTCTCAATCTTTTCTTTTCTTTTCTTCTAATTACCTTACTTTTCTCTCATTACATCTCTCATTCTCCCTATCTATTTTCCCTATCTTTCTTTTTCCATTTCTTACCCACTTTATTTCTTTTTCTCTATCACTCTTATTTTCCTTTCCTATTACGTCTTCCCCCTTTATTTATTTTTCCTTTTACCTCTTATTAACAATATGCAAAGTTTTCCTTTTGTTTTTTCTTTCTTTACATTTAATTCCTTCGTTTTTCATTTTCTACTATTCTATTTATTTTAATTTTCCCTCTTTTTTATCCACCTTTCTTTCTATTTTTCTTTCTCCTTCACTCTTATTACTTTTCACTCTTTCTTTTGTTCTACTTTTATACCTCTTCTTCCCCTTTACTTCTCTCTCTCTCTCTCTCTCTCTCTCTCTCTCTCTCTTTCTCTCTCTATCTCTATCAATCTATCTAACTATCTAACTATCTATTTATCTGTCCCTATCTCTATCTATCTCACTCTTTTACTCTCGGTTATTTACATCGGTTACATATACGTAATTAAATTGAAACCTGACAAGCTTAAAATTTTTTTTTTCCAATGTAGATGATGGATGTTATTATTAAGGGTGTGTTACACTTTCATCTATATTGTGAACCGTGGATAACCCAACTAAATGAAAATTTTCCCATACATTGGTTAGAAAAATTGAAAGTTCTTATAATCCGCTGAAAGTTACGTTTGCTATTAACAGACGTTTCCCCATTTCCTGGAGAGGAAAATACATTCGTCCGTAAATAATCGAAAAAGAAGAGAGTCGGATAAACGGAATACTTTTTTAGACAGGCAATCTTTTGATTTCTTATCGTAGACAGCACGCGAGGAAGCTCGCTCCTATCGCCCGGCTTAAAGGAAATCGTCATTTTACTGACAAAATGCCACTCACTGCACACTACATGCGGAAAATATTCTCCGAGACTTTCAATTAATTAATCTTTGTATGTAAGGTTTTGGTCGAAATGAAAAAGTTAGTGCCACGAGCGGGATTCGAACCTACGACCTTCGGCTAAATACGCCGCTGCTCTACCACTTAAGCTGTAGTGATATCGTAGAGCAGTACCTTATTTAGCCGAAGGTCGTGGGTTCGAATCCCGCTCGTGGCACTAACTTTTTCATTTCGACCAAAACCTTACATAAAAAGATTAATTAATTAAAAGAAGTAATTTGGTCAATCGACCACTAAATATAATGGATTCTCCGAAACGTTTAACGACTACTAGGTTGAGAATTTAATCGGTCGACGATGAAAATCAAAAAAGGTTTTAAGATTTTAGTGTTTATGTAGGGTTCCAATCATCGTAGAGGTCATTAGACGGGTGAAAAAAGACTAAATTCTGGGTTCACCGAGCTTTCGGCACCTTATAGTGCAATCTCATCAGGGCTTTCCCAAGTATGAAGAAAACGATTAACATGAAAAACTATTGTTCAAGTGTTTTGGGTTTAAGACTATGTTGCACATGGCCAGCATAATACATTTTGACAGGGAAAACAGACATCTCGCTAAAAATCCATATGACTAAAGGTCCATTAGGATTTTTCTCTCCGTTTTTTTTATTCTGGCTAGCAATTTCTTTCAAGTACTTTTGTGATCACAGAGAATCTTTACAAAAATTGTTTGTTTTTTATATATTTAAAACTAAATTACAGCAATTTACAGAAATTATGTAAAAAAAAGGGTTAAAATTAACGAGAGAGAGAGAGAGAGATAGAGAGAGAGAGAGAACGACGAACCCCGTCTCCTCCGTTTGGACTGCTATCTCGATTTTTAGCGAGATATCTGTTTTCACCGTCAAAATGTATTATGCTGGCCATGTGCTCCATAGCCTTAAACCCAAAACACTAGTATGATGTTTTCCATGTTGATTGTTTTTTTCATCTTTGGGAAATCCCTGATGATGGAACTATAAGGTGCCGAAAGCTCGGTGAACCCAGCATTTAGTCTTTTTTCACCCGTCGAATGACCTCTACGAAGAACCTTACATAGGTCTGCAGGTCGATCAACGAATATCAAATTTTATTGTGTTTTTTTAAAATAAGTAAATGGTGAAATGAATTTTTCAACACTTTACGCATTATCAATTTAATATGTTAATTTATTAGAAATTTGCAAGGAAGGATTTCAAGGAGTAAACATTGACAAGGTGTCAGGGCCATTCTCTGGAGCACAGCCAGCAGTTTTTCTCACTTGAACCACCTTTCGACCCCTTGAACGAAAAAGAATTATTGAAGACCGAAAATGAGAACGAAATTATTGATGTGTACAATTTAAATAATACATAAATTTCTCGATATAAGAGGCTCTTGTAAACAGGCCAAAACAAATTATATGATTTTTAACTATAAAAAGAATATGTAACAATTTATTTAATATTAACTGTAAATTAAGATTCTTTTTTCGTATTCGCATGTTTATTTAATATTGTAGTTTTGTGTAGAATGTCTGATGATCGTGTTGTTCTCTTGTTCGCAGTTTTGTTTCTGTGTCTGGAGACATCTTGGGTTCGGCACATGCGTGGCTCGATCTTCAGGTTCTAACACACCTTCCTGTTGGTCGGCCGACCAATTAAGTGAGTACCAGTACTTCTCGTCGTTCTTTTGATTTACAATTGTGAAAACAACGCGTGGAAGTCGGAAATCGGAAATCAATCCTCTCTAGCCTTTAATCGTCTGCCCTTTGAGCAATTTAAAACATTCAATCTCTGAAGCAATCAGAAATTAATGAACTCGTTAAATTTTTATGTATGAATTTAGAGGGAAAAAGCCTGCTGGGTTTGGTAGACGTTTCCTCATTTGTTCTGATAAGGAGTTGTTTACAATTATAATAATAATAAATAATTAATCAGTTGTAGTTTTGGTTGTTGAATTACAGGTAAACAAATAGAGAAAACTGATTATAATTAAGAAGTTTTTGGCGAATATAGTTGACAACAGCTATATTTGACAAAAACGTTCTTAATTATTAAATTCGTTAGAGTTTGTGATCCGATCGACCGAATAACTTTTTTGAATTAATTAATCTTTAAGTATTGGTTGAGATAAAAAAGTCAGTATCACGAACGGGATTCGAACCCACGACCTTCGGCTAAATACGCCGTTGCTCTACCATTTGAGCTATCGTGACTTCGATCCATTTGGACACCAACTTCTCATCTCAACCTCTCGATTCTCGGTGACAAAATCTTTATGTAAGGTATTGGTTGAAATGAAAAAGTCAGTGTCACGAGCGGGATTCGAACCCACGACCTTCGGCTAAATACGCCGCTTCTATAACCACTTGGGCTATCAATTTCCATCCACCGGACACCAACTTCCCTTCTGAAATAAGGATCTTTCCAATCCCGAAATAAAACGAAGTATATCTTCACTAAAGCTCTCCGTGGCTATTTCATTTGCCGCCGAGAATCGAATCCTGATTACACGACATTAGAAAAATGGCAAAAAGGAGGGAAAATTCGAAAGGTAGAAATGATAAATGATGGAGTGAGTGTGGTGTTCAATCCTTTTAAAAATATAGTTCCTACTCACAGTAAGTCGTTTTGCAACGATCCGGATTTCAAGCCTTTTAGCTCATCATCAGGTTGAAGGACTTCTACAACCACGTCTCTCGACATGAATTGCCAAAATGAACCGCTGATACCTCCGCCAACGCGACATTCCAATTAGCAGCTGATTTTTTTAATGGCGCTCAATTTGAACGTGCGAAACGCGGAAATTATAACACAAATAAATATTATACTAGTAAATACTTAATATTATTAAATTACTATAAAAATAATAATAACAACCGCAAAAAGCGGGGTTTACCAACTCAATTGTAATGATTGTGATATTAAATATATAGGACAAAGCGGTTGTAGACGTCCTTCAACCTGATGATGAGCTAAAAGGCTCGAAATCCGGATCGTTGCAAAACAACTTACTGTGAGTAGGAACTATCTTTTTAAAAAGGATTCGAAAGGTAGGTTGAGATGGAGAGTTGGTGGATCGAAGTCAAGATAGCTCAAGTGGTTACAGCAGCGGCGTATTTAGCCGAAGGTCGTGGGTTCGAATCCCGCACGTGACACTGACTTTTTTATTTCGACTAAAAACCTTAATTAATTGAAAGATATGAATTGGTCAAGCGACAAGTAAAACGAAGTATATCTTCACTTAAGCTCTCCCTGGCCATTTCATTTGTCGCCGAGAATCGAGAGGTTAAGATGGGAATTGTCGTCCGAGTGGATCGAAGTCACGATAGCTCAAGTGCTAGAGCAGCGGCGTATTTAGCCGAACATTGACTTTTTTAACTCACCCAATACCTTACGTACAGATTAATTAATTCAAAAAAGTTCTTAATTAATATCAGTTTTCTCTGTTTGTTTACCTGTAATTCAACTGAACCACAGGCATATAGGACATTTTAAATGTGAACATACAAATTTTTGCCCACTGTTTTAAAGGAATTTGTACACTGAAAACGATGGTGAAATCAGATTTTGAATTGGACAAAGAGTAACAAAGTCTACAGAATATGAAAAACTTGGTGATGACATGATACTTGCTTTAAAGGTTTTCCTGGGCCCACTTCGACAATTCCATCGATTGAGAATAATATTTGTGTTTAAAATATGTAATTGGGTTATATACTCAATAATAATACAGAAATACAATCGCAAACGTTAAAAGAACAGTAAATGAAAATGATTTTTATTGGCCAAGTAATTCTAATTTTGATTTATTACCACAGATGTTATTTACCAAATATTTTTGAATATGGTACGCAACTAGCTGTTAGTACTTTTTTCTCCAAAACTATTGGATCTTGAAGTTTTTTACTACTTTTAAACAGAATAACCGGTTTAATTTTTTCCCTAGGAAGATAATTTTTTGGGGAAAATCAGGGGGTAGTTACACACATAGTTACACTAGTTCGTTGTACATCTGTTTGCATTGCAAAAATAATCAATTTTAATTACTGTTCTTAACGTTAAATTGACGTTAAATAATGTAAAACGTGCTGGCATGGTAACTGACATATTTAAATTCGTTGAAATATATGGATCCTATCCGTGACGAGTGGCTCTTGCCACTTTGCTCCAGAGGGTGGAGCCGTCCCCATTACACAGGTCCAAACCGCAAGTGCTTGTTGCCACGACAAATAAAAATATGTCACCAAGAACAAAAAAATGAGAGAAAAGAGATAATTTTCCATTTTTCTTCACACCTGCTGTAAACGAGGGACAACAGGGCTTTGCAAACCACTGTCAACTTCTCCCCGCTGATGATAATTTTTTTAAACAGTTTTCTTTCCATCCCAATGAGAAAAGGTCGTCGTTCTCATATCGAAGTTTAAACGAGAGACGGGTGAGAATTTCATTAGGCTATGCGTTTATAAAAAAGACTTGAGGAAATGAAATTAAAGCCGGGAACACACTTACCCGATGCTACGCCATGCGACGCTGCCCGACGCCTTGCTACGTTTTGGTGGGGTGTGCACATCTATCCGACGCAAGTACACGTCGCGTACAGGCCACAGCGTTTATCACAATAATCACTATCACAATCGCAACGCATCTTTTGTTCCTAATGCACTATTGTAATAAATTGTTAATTAAATTTTATGAGCACAACCATCTAATAAATTGCTTGTTAAACTTAATTGTTTTGAATAAAGTTACTCATAACCATCTAATTAAACACTGTTTATAAAAACCTATGCATTTTTGATCTCGTTTAAATTGCTTTACATTAAAATAACGTTGTAATTAATATAACGACAAAATGACATGTACTTAGTTTGAAATAAACTANCGACGTATAGCATCGGGTAGCGTCGCATGGCGTGGCATCGGGTAAGTGTGTTTCTTGCTTAAGGCAATGAACGGCATCCTAAAGTTAAATTTACACTCTAGAACCTCTTCAATATTCTTGGCAGTATTACACAGCGACACGCGGGCATTTTTTATGACTCATAAATACTAATTTTATCTCTCTTTGAATGGTGATGTCGTTGTTTTCAATTTCCCGTTGTGATCGTCATTTTCGTAGTTCGATTGATAGGTTTAACCAAGTTCTTGTATACTGAATTTGTCTTTACCTCTTACGAGAAAGGAGCTCGTTGCATTTTTAATTTTTGCAAGTCAAGATCGCTTTGGTCTCTTTTGTGAAAAGAAGGGATTTCCACCGGAGCGAAGGATAATTGGAGGAAAGCCCTTTCCAGATACAAATGTCTCCCGAGTCGCTCAAAGTGAACATTATTATTCGATAACGTATTCCAGGTACAACCTGGGAAAATTGCAGCCCGTAAATTTCGTCCGGCTCGTGTTAGCATGTGAGCTATTAGTGAAACTACTAATGCCAGACAAGTGTAAATAGTCGACAGTGACAAATCCTGTTTCTTAATTTTTCATATTCACTTATGTAATCACTCTTACTTTCACTAAGTGTTCGTCGTATATTAATTTTTTTGTAGAGCAGTTTATCTCCTCAATGAAAATGTAATTTAGTTGCACTGGTATATTAGACATCTGTTATGACATATTAATTTTTGTTTTATTCCCGGTTGATGTTTGATAACAAAAATATAATATAAATAGTAGTAATAAATGTCTTTATTGGAAAAAAAAAATATACGCTTATTCTAAAAACCGTCTGAAAGGTTTTCGTGCTAATTTTTATTATTATGTGTGGTGCTTAGTGACCGTTAGTTAATGATTGTTATTAAAGTTTTATTAATTATTTACATACAGGGTGTCCCAGTTCCTTCTGACGAAACTCAGGGAATCGATTCTACTCTTCGTTTGGAGCAAAAAATGCTCAGGAGAAAATTTTCGGAAAGTTTTCTATTTTGAAGATATTCGTCAATTTAGATTTTTTCAACTTTTCACTACCTTACCACAAAAAAAAAAAAAACGCTTACAACTCCCAAAATGTTGTGACTACAACAAATGCAATTACACCATTTGAAAGAAAGCTAAATTTGCTGTAAGCTACTTCTATTTGCAATAATCTGAATGACATAAAATGTTAGCCAATATCAGTTGGAACATGTCAAAATTACAAAATTTAAAATTTTGGTCATGATTGCACGTTCTACTGAGGTTACAAGAAATACCTACAACTTGTATAAGTATTTTACAAGTAGTAATTTTACAAAAACTTCTTCATCTAATATGCTTTATGTTGATTTTTCAACTCTACTAGAACGTTATTTAAAAACCTGGATTTAAAAACCAATGGAAAGCAAATTAGATGAAGACGTTTTTGTGAAATTTGACAAGTTGCAGGTATTTTTTTGTAACCTCAGCAGAAGGTGCAATCTTGACCAAAATTTCAAATTTTGTAATTTTGACATGTTCCAATTGATATTGGCTAACATTTTATATCATTCAGATTATTGCAAATAGAAGTATATTACAGCAAATTTAGCGTTTTTTTCAAATGGTGTAATAGGATTTGTTGTAGGCTCAACATTTTGGAAGTTGTAAGCGTTTTTGTGCGGTAAGGGAGTGAAAAGTTGAAAAAACCTAAATTGACGAATATATTCAAAATAGAGAACTTGCCGACAATTTTCTCCTGAGATTTTTTT